TGTTGACAGGACTGTGGCTTTTAAAGGAACAGGAAGAGTGGAACAGAAAGAGAATTGTATACAAACTGTGTATAGACCAAATATTAAAAATCTGTGCAGATACAATTTGCAAAATTCATCTAGCAGTAGAACTTGAAAAGTTGATGAGCACAGAAATGCTCTTGTTGGAATGCTTCCTTCCAGTGTAGCATTTTTAAAAGCCTTATCATAATGAGTTAATGAGTAATATTGTCATTGTGCATGTCTTGGGAAATGCAGGAGGGATTCAAAGGACAAAAGATCATGTGCTTGATCTTCTGTGCTTCTACGTGCTTTTGATGTGTGCTAAACTTCTTAGGACTGTTTTTAAATTCCATTCTGTTCTAGGTGTTAGTGGTAGATAGATTGTACAGTCTTAATCATGGAAAGATGCAAGAAAAAACTTGAAAATTTGGTTGAGATCTTTATATTCTCTGTAAAGTATTGCATCAGGTATTCCCATGCAAGGCCCATTTAAATAGACTATTTTGCATAATCTTCATGAGGGGGGAAAAAAATAATCTTTAATTCTGTTAATACCTCTTTTTAGATAAAGATTTGGAAGCACCCACCTTCTGAAGTTGAAGTGCTTGAGTTTTTTGTAATGTTTGCCTTGTATTTTAAGTGCTTGTCTCCTTCCTCATTCATGGTCAGTAGTACATGGAGGGGGAGCACTATCAGTAAATGTTGTCTGTCTTGAGACAAACGGATGCAAGTCATTTTGGTGATACTTTGATTTTTAATACTGAAGCCTTAGGCTTGACTTAAGGTATTGGTGAGCTGGACCTTCACAAAATAAAGTTGGTAACATAAAAGTTATGGCATGCCAACTGTGTGTGCATGTGGATATATGTGTACACACACACACACATGGTATTGAGGAAGTACAGAGATACATAACCCTAAAGGTGACTGCATCTGACATAAGATACCTCAGTGGACAGGTCACAGATACCTCACTTGGGCAATTCTTGCTTTTGCTAAAATAGGCAGTGAATTTAATAACCATTGACTGGTCAATATGGGAGCTCCCCAAAAAGTGCACTGAATAAAGAGGTTATCTTTATTCAGTGTTACTGCTTTTCACTTTAGCTTGTGTTTGACCTTCTTCTGGTCACTTAGTAACAAGTTATATAAAAGAGGTGGAAATATATGGGAAATTTTTAGACTGTGCAGATCATGAATGCTGAAAATAAGGTAAAGAAGGTTCAAGAGCTGTATGAGTCAAGGTCTGTCTTCTCTTTGTGTACTTTAATACATTTCAGTATTAAAGCCCTGTGTTTTTCCCTGTGTGACAGAATATTCTGGGTAGATTTTTTCAGGTTCTAAAGTCAGGATTGAGATTCACTGAACTGATCTCTTTGACTTGTCAGGCCTGAACTGTAAAGATTTTTTTGACTTTTTTGTTGACTGGTTGAAAGACCATTTTGGTAACTTAGAACAGTCATTTAATCTTCTTGTGTTCCTGTATCTGAAAAGTGGGTGTGAACATATATTTGTGAAGTGCTCCCAATATAGAGCTGAGAAATGCTACACAGGCTGTTGTGGTTCTTTCTGTTGCTTATGGTATCAAGCAGTAACTTGTATTACTTTTTAAGAAGCCACTAATTTTTAGTGTAACTGCTTTGTAATCAGCACAGTGCAATCAATACATGTTGAAATCATTAAATATAGTGTTAACAAATCTACTGTAGAAAAATCTGTTTTAATAACATTCCATTCCAAGCAACTTTAGATGTTTTTGTGGTAGTTTGCCTAGAGCTGAAAGATCACAATTATTTGAAGAATTGGTAGTAAACTTTAACCAGAAAGTGCAGTTTGCCAAACAGCTTTATTAGAGCATGTGAGGGTAGATTTGACAGTGCGTATGTGATTCAGAAACAACTTTTAGCACAACATAGGTGTACTTTACCTTATAGGGATTGCTGATGAATCTAAGTTTGTTTTAGAAGTGGGACTTTGTACCCAAGTCTGCCCTTGTTGTGCAGTGTATTAGTCATGCAAGGATGTGGAATTCTAAAATTTGTAGGTCAACACTTAAAAGTGAAGCAGAATCCAGCAACATAAAAAGAGTAGGACAAGCATAGCAACCATTATTGCTGGAAGTCTGAGAGATGTAATGTGTCCCATGGGGATGATTACTTCTGTTTCAGAGATGAGGAAATGTTGTGTCTAGAAAACATACTTCTATACAACAGCAAAGACTGAATTGGTGGATTTGTGTTTGTGTCAAAAGCAGCAGTACAGATTGTGCTCTCTAATATGACTCAGTGTAAGACTGAAATAGCTTACCTACAGCAAGTTACTGATTTAATCAGACATGTAGCTAATACATAGAGAACCTATAAATTGGCAAATTGGTCTGTTTTATAGAGCTGAATTTAAGGGGGATAGAGAAGTGTAGTGATAGGAAAACCTTTGAGTGAATTGATAAAACTGGATAAAATATGGACAAAACTAACTCAAAGACAAGTTAATGCCCTTTCTTCCATCCTCCTAACTGACATGGAAGCTATCCACTTTACATCAAACTTGGCTGTAGGCATTGCAAAGAAAATAAATTATTTTTTAAAATAATATGATTAGCTGGCTGTTTGGGGGATTTCTTTGTCCTTACTAATGACTAGGTTAATCTGTTGGACACCAAAGTATCCACATAAGACCAATTACTGGAAACTGGTGGAGGTAGCAACCAAACTGATAATAGGTAGTGACTTTTTAGATAGCAGACTCCACCTACAAACTCATATCCATTGGAATTTCAGATAACTTTGGGAGCCTTAATAGAATAATATTATCTATGCAATTTGAAAGAATCTCATGTCACTTTATTAGTAGTTAAAATTAGCTGCTACCTAGTGGAAATTCAGCTGAACTTCAGAAGTTTCCAGGAGGTCAGCACTGGATGTTTTCTGAGTGCAGAATGTCCCCTGCTGCCTGGGGCCTACTGATGATTTAGTTCCAGTGCTGATCCAACCTTCTGACTGCCTGAGAAAAGCCTGGCAATGCATCTTCCTTCCTCCCTTCAGCAATGCCCAAATGCATTGCAGGTATTTCTGTGGGGTATGGCACTGAGGAGGCTAACTGCAATTAAATATCCTCAAATAAGATTAAAATTAACTATTTACCAAAGGTACTTGCTGCTAATTGAGTACTTAAGCAGCAAGCTGCAGTACCATCTGGGAACCCAAATTCAGAAAGTTATGTGGGATCCTCGATTTCACACTGAGCTTACTGAAGAAATACTATATGTAGCATCTGGGGAGGAGATCCCAAAAGAATGAGCAGCAGTCTCAGAAGAGTTGTTATGTAACTGCTCTTTATAAATATAACTTAGATAGCAGTGATGGGTAAAAGGCAATTTAGAAGCAAGAAGTTTTTGCTGGTGAGCACTGTACAAACTCAAACTGAAAAGGTTTTCAGAAGAGCAAAGAGCACTGTTCATATGAGCATTTCAGACTGAAAACTGCAATTGTCCTCATGTAATCCAAATATTAAATTAAAAATCATCCCTATTAACTTATTTTAAGTCTGGTGAGTATATTTTTATGAAAACAGGGTATTTTAGATGCTAGGGAAGCAGCACTGTAGCTCTTCCAGCAGCCTGCCTGTGTGCTAACCAGTTGCACAAAACTCACTGGTGTTAAGCAACAACATTCATAGTTGTTGAGCATAATAAGATGCCTATTTGCTTGAGGTTGAGTTCACTTGAAATGCATCTGTTGCTTCACTCTATACTCACTGTCAAGAACAATATTTGGGTCTGGAGCCCGAACCGTACCCCAGCAAAGCCCTTGCTGTCCTATGCAAAGCTGTACTTGAATGTATCCAAAATGGCAAGTCTTGTACTGCCCTTATTAATCAACAAATGGGGCAACCTGGAAAATCTCTTCTGTTCCCCAGTCCCTACTTTGAGTGAAATATCAATTTGGTATTAGTACTTAACTCTTGTATAACTTTAGGAGTATACATAAATTCCATTGATTGCAATTACCTGGATGAATTTATTACTTATTTGTACTATGAAGATAACTAAATGCTTTCAGAGGAGATATGACTCCCTCTGTAAAGTGCTTTACATAAATAAATCTGAGATAACTAGCCATGCAAAGTCATTACAACCTTCCAGAACAAAGAGAAAAGGAAACAGCTAATACAGATGTAGCTTGTAGTGTTGCTGCTGAGACTGTCAATGCTTTCTGCAATAGAACCGGTTTGTCTGGCTGATTTAAAAATTAATCTGAATTCTATAAGAAGCTGCCTCGAGCTGCTTACTGAGTAGTAATGGGGAGCTTGGTTGGGGGATGGTAGAAGGAGTTCCTTGGAAAGCATCTCTGAAAAACTATTATTTGTTTTGGTTTTTTTTAACGTAATATATTAAGAAGCATGTTGTTCCAAATTTGGGAGTTTAGTGAGCAGCCATGATGCCTAAAGGCAAAAAATTACTTCTTCCTAGCAATTAGTCCCTATTGCACAAAAGTTTCCCTTGCTATTAGTTACTAACAAAGCACATAGTACCACAATTTTAACTAAGTAGTAGAGGGTAGGTTACACCCACAAGTAGAGACCAGCTCTTGCGATGACCCAGAAGTGGTGTGGTTACACCTTCGCAGCAGAGACATGCAAAGGCAGATAATGACAGCTGCCTGGGCAGCCTGAAACATGGTATCTCTAATTAGTCCTTAACTTGCAACTTGGGTGTTGTTTTAATGCAAAGAAAGGCTGCTTGTGTACCTCCTTAAAAGCTGTGAAAACAGACTTCAGGAGCCCCACAGCCTTCACAGGGATCATCAGAGGGCTGGGATCTTTAAGTGGGAGAGGCTTGCATCACATATCTAAAGTTGGTAAATATTCATTTATATGATGAATCTACTTTGCAAGGAGACCTGACACTGTGACTTTCAAGTTCATGTTTGTTCTCATTTTGAGTAGATTATTAGATGAGGATTAGTTGAAACTGAAGACATAAGTGATAGGAAAGCATTTTTTTAATCTTTATTTTATTAATAACAGATTTTAGGTAAAGCTGTTCAAGTGCTCTTCAACAGAGGAACCAAGCCAAAACACTGAGGAGAGGATCAATGACAAAACAGCTGAGGAGTAATGCAGATTTTTTTTTTTAACATCTGGTATTTTCTGTGCTACCTTTAAGTAGTGAGGATGCAGTAAGAGATTTGTAAGTGGCTTGAAGTGAAGAGTGAATTAGCAGCAGAGGAAATTAAAACTCCTTACTTGAAATCTGTATGTAGCCTCAGCAAAGATTGCCATTTAGGAGGAAATTACCCAGCAAACTTGGAAACAAAATGTGTTAAATCTCCAGAAGTAGTTATCAGAAACTTTTACAGCAAAAGTATGAAATGGCAGATAAAATATCTCCCCTTGATAGCTCATAAGTAAAAATTTGTAAGTTACTAGTGCACTGCCTCTGTTTTCTGGTAATTGAGGATTTCAGCATTCCTCATCCTAGTTTTAATGCAAGGAAGATTATTACAACTGGAAAAAAGATTCTGGGGTTCATATTCAGTAAATACTGTTTTCGAGGAAACCAGAACCGTTTGTCCACAGAGAAGGTATTCTCTTGGTTGTTGGGGTAGAAGAATTTTTTTTTTTTTTTTAATTATTATGGTGGAAATGATTTGTCCTCTTTTACCAAAAGGTTGGAAGTCATTGGGACTGCTCTGGAGGATAGTTAGCTATAAGGACAGATGTGTTGGAAATAGTCCAGTCACCACTTATTTTCAGTTTACTAGCAGTTCATGTTGCAGAACCTGAAATATGAAGTTATACAATAGACTAGTTAGGAAAAGTTAAGGAGCTTGACTTTATAATTAAATTGATAAAACTAACTTGCATTCCATGAAATAAATCCAACAAGAGGGAGATCCAAACACAGTAATACTGTCAAGTGAAAAAGCTTTCTCCTTCCCATAGATCAGTGAGTTGTTCAGTAACTTATCTGACTATGTATCCAGTTATCCCAGATTTCTGTTATGACTGCAGAGCAGAATACATTCAGCTTTAGAATAAGAAAAAGGCTTATTTTTATCTGTTCTTAATTTTGACATGAACAGTGTCTGCAGTATTCAAACTAAAACGGATGAGGATCTACTCAAGAGCTGTATTCAGACAGTGCTCATTAGTATCTATTACTATTATGCAAGTTTGTTGTTAAAACACTTTGATTTCAAATCAGGAGTATAAGAGAGCTTAATGGAAAACTGCATTTTTTAATTGACTGAAGACATTTGAGAAGAATTAAATCTCCTTTGAAATAAAAATAGGCTTAGCTGCAGACCTGCCTGTTTGCCCAGTGCCGGAAGTGATTCATGTGAATTAGGGCATGTGTAGGAGTCACAGGGCTCTCGGGAGGCTTTTCATGGTAAGGCGCATTTGCAGTCCTGTTGCAAAGTAGCTCTGGACAGGAGGGTCGCTTAATTCTCAAGTAGGATGTTCCAGTTCTGTTCAGTCTGTAACTTCATAGAATAGAGTGTAAGGTGGGTTTTGGGGGAGTGGTTTGGGTGTTTTCTTCCTGGTTTTTTTTCTGCATGCTTATACCTTTTCTTTAATTCACAGATTGTCCTAGCACTCCTGATACTCCAAATAGTGATCCTCGGTTTTCTACGAACAACAGATTGATGGCCTTAAAGAAGCAGTTGGATATAGAACTGAAGGTAAAACAGGGAGCAGAAAATATGATACAGATGTACTCAAATGGCTCTTCAAAGGTAAGGCTTTGGAATGCTTAAAGATCATTAAATGAATGAGTTTTCACATTGCTGTAATGTGACTGTACAATGTATAAACAGTATGCAGCTTCAGTATTTTTAGTTCGGGCTATATTTTTGTTAAACAGTTCCATCAAATCTGCTACAATTTATTATACCATTTTTTGTTGTGGTTTGATACCCACTGAAGTGATTGTGTTATCAGTTTGTGCAGATGCAGTTCAACCTAAATAATAAATCCGGCTTACTAAATTTAGTACATCTAGTAATCTTTGACCACGTGGGATTCACTTAGCAGCAAAGCTTGGTAGGACTGACTGGTGTCTGGTGTTTTGCCTAGCTCCACAGAAAAAAAAAAATCCATTAGTTTAACATTGTAACATGCATGATAATTGCAACAAAGGCAGTATTGCCAAGTATATTCTGAACTCGTCATCTAGTTGTAGTTAGCAGCAAAAAGATCTGTGCCCAATGCTTCAATAGAATGTGTGTAGTATTCTGATAGAGATGTCATAACTTGCACTGATACACATAAAATACACATTGAAATAAATTCTTTTTAGGGAAGTGTGGTAATCTAGAGGTAGCAACTGATAGAATAAAGTGAAATTAAAAATAAAGCCACACTTACTATTATATCTGAATTTTAAGTACTTGCACTCACTCTCTCTTGATAGCACCAGAATTTTTCCAAGGAGGTGAAAGGCAGTTATAATTCTCAAATGAGAAAAAAGGGAGGGAGGGATCCTCTACTTACATTCCCCTTCGCCTTTCATTCATTACTCATTAACTGTTCTTTACCTTTATTAAATCATTAAGGAGATTAATTTCAAGACTAAGGGGAAACACAAGAGTAGATCTAACAAATAATGTGTAGTAGCTTGGTTAGATGTTTTTGTGTCCAGACAGTAGTAAGAAGAATCAAAATGTTTTAAGATCTTAGCTGAGCCAGCACCTATCTGGGTCAGTCAACTTACTAAAAGGAAGTGGTTTGCTAGAAGAGAAGGAATCTGGAAATTACATTGCTACCCCTTAGAACTGATTTTAACTAGAAATTGTTGGAAAGGAACTTCATGTTTTTGACTGAATTTGGGCTAGGTGTTGGTGGAGAGGCAGATCACTTTGTATGTCTCTACTGTATGACTTCCTTATACCTTGAACAAATAGCAGGGAGCGCTGCTTTCTCACAGAAAATGAGTTTAGACTCGATGGACCAGAGGTGCCATCAAGTTCCTTCTGTCGCAGGCAGCCTTATCTGAAAGTGACCTGTAACATACTAGCTGGGGGCAAATAGAAGAAATAGCTGGAGTGCACATTATGACTAAGGTCCTGGGAATGCTGTCCATCCACCACAGTCCCTCAGCTCCTAGAAACCCTTGGAGTCTACATTCTCTGGGGCCATGTACTTAACATCAGGTACACTTAGAACTCATAATTAGCTAACCCAAATGGATCAAAAGACATACACGAATTAGGTTTCTAATAAACCCTTGGTAAGTAACCTTATAACAGGCTGAAAAACTTAACTAAACACTCAGGCTGTAATATTAGACATTGTTAGCAGGCTTTGATCAGACTAAGTAGAGAAGATAAATTCTGGTTTGCTTTAGATTGAGGTATGTAATTAAAATCTCTGATTGAATCTTGTATTTGTGATTGGTAAATGCTTAAATGAGCCTACCACATTGGGAGTATATAGTAACTGGGCTGGAGAGAGCAAGCTGCAAAGCACAAAAGCATTGCCAGCCACTTCAGCAAACAGGATGGAAATGGTGGGTATTCATTCTTTTTTTTTTTTTTTTTTTCTGCTCAGTAGTGAGTTATTTGGCATGTTTGAACTGTAGCCTTGAGCATGCTGACTATGTTTTAAAAAGCAGAGCTTAAAAGAATCCAACCATCTGGATGGGGTGGGCAAAAGGGGCAGAAAATCCCCAGTTTGAATCCAATCCCAGTAATCCAGTAGTTCTTTAAAAAGTAGTCATAGGCCATCTTTAAACATATTAAACTCATTTGTGACCTTTCTGCAAGTGTACTATATGATCTAATTTCAAATCTGTTGTATTATTTTGAGACCTAAATTTAATGGAGGGAAGTTATAATCTGTTTTCTAAAAATGAAAAAGCAGTCTGTTAATAAACCCATCATCTCATGGGAAGCTTTTCCCTTTGTACTTTACTTGCTTCAGTAACATTCAGCTCAACCTATTTGGACTTGAACATTTCTGAGATAACGATCATCTTTCCTTGCATGTGCGTAGGTTCTCTGAGATCCCATGACAGCTCTGCAGATCAGTTTTACAGGCACTGTCAGTTCTTCTGTACTCAGAAGATGCATTGAAATACTTTGTATTCAGCCTCCAACACTAAGAGAGCTGCTGAGCATTACACATACATTTTGACTCGGAAGATGTGATCTTCTGTCTCTTTAAAACCTAAGGATATCTCTGTAAGGCTGGATTGCCTCTGCTCTACACACTGAAGGGCTAATGCTGCTCCTGAGCAAGCAAATCCATTCCAGTAAGAGACTATGAGGGATAATCAAGAGCAGCAAGATCAAAAATAAGATAAAAGGGAAGATACAGACAAAGAAACACTTCCAGCATATTTATACATCAGAATGATGCATGGATAAGGTTTAATACAGGATTTTAGAGTAACTTGTAATCTGTTCCTTAAACCCTGTACTCTGCTAGAGTCAGTGATTATTCCAAAATTTCACATCTGTATGCGAGAAAGTATTGATTTAGGAAAGTCTGTGTGATCATTAATTGGATAAGTAATATGGAATCTTAAAATATGAAATCCGTAGTATCTCCCTGTAATGTTGATTAATACTAAAACTTAAAATTGAGAGTTGTGAAACTATGGTATGCAGAGGGGGCACAATTTCTTTCCACAAAACCAAAGTATTTTTATGTGTAGATTTTGGTATATCTACCCTGCAGAACAAAGGGCAGCATTAAAATATCTGAGTGAGTAGTAAGTCAAGGGGAGAGGTCATAGAGGAGCTCCGTGAAGGTCAATTTCTCAGCATACAGATCTTTCTTACAGTGTGCTTCATGGCGCAAGTATTTCCAGCTCTGGGACCTGGCTGCGCTGCAGGTCTTTCTCTTGATTATGGCAAGGGAAGAATTTACTTTCTTTAACTTCATTATAAAATCAAAAATACAATTATAAACCATGTCCATGGGAAAGTAACTTATTAATGAGGTTATAGAGTGGCTACAAAATGAGCTAACCAAAATACCCTTTGGGTTGTAAGGCTGGTACATGTCTGCCCTGACTGCTGTTAATTACTGTGATTGATTGGTACTGCATGGACAGGACAAATACACTGCCTTAAATTTCCTTAAATTTTCTCATACCTTGTTTTTGTTGTTGTTCGTACTGCAACAAATCAGATCACCTTTAAACTGTCTGGTAATTGCCAGAACATAGAGACAGAGCCACATGGAGCCATGGAAATTTATGAAACTTCATCTTTAGGAATGTTCTCTTCTAAACAGCTTCCTGTGATGCTGCTTTTGAAAATGAAGCTTGGTTATCTTAGTTTATTTAGATAAAAAAGTACTGTACTGTACTTAGATTGCTGATGAAATAGCTAATGAAGTGGGCCTTGTTTATTACATATTTATTAATGCAAAAATTTTTAGCTTTCATTTGTTCAGAAAAATGTTCTGCAAGCTTAATGAGCTTTGTAAGCAACATCATATTTCTAATTTCAGTATTGAAAATCAACTCAGGTTAAGTAGTGCAATTACTTTTATATGGGTTTAGTCCAGCAAATTTGCCTATTACAAGAGTTTTTACCATACTCAAGGTAAATTGGAAACAATCTACATTGTTTTGGAGGTATTTTGCACTTAATATCTTCTCCTTTCTTTAGTATCAGATTACAAAATATTAATCTACATATGTAATGTTTCTAGATCATGCCTCCTCCACTGACCTTGAAACACAGTTTCCCTGAGTGTGGCTTACAGTCTTTAATCAACCAATGCCTCTGTCCTAACTTAATTTTCACTAATATCTTTATGTGGTTACTTTGCCTAATGCAAATGAAATGCATAGATTTAGTTCCTGTTCCAAAGTATGTGTGGTTTGAAACTTCCAGTGTGTCATGTTCCATGAAGATGTTTCTGATTTCAATTTGTCTCTTTGTTTCAACAGGATCGAAAACTTCTTGCCACAGCTCAGCAGATGCTTCAGGACAGCAAGACAAAAATAGAAGTTATAAGGATGCAGATTCTTCAGGCAGTCCAGACCAATGAATTGGCTTTTGATAATGGTGATGGTGTAGAAAGGAAATATGAATCCTTAATGTCAGAATGTCATACAGATATATACCCATATGCACACAGACTTGCCATAAATTTCTGTTAGGAACATTTGATACAGCTTGCATGAACCAAAAATAATCAGAGGCTAGGGAAAACTTTGTGTGTCTTCGGGTGCCAAAAACATCTGAAGGAATGTGAAGGAAAATCCCTTCATTGTAATGAAGAGAAACACCATCTCTCTTTATCATCCTTTCTATACATTGTGCTGTCCATTTTTGCTTTCTGGTCTGCCTTCTCACTTCATGCATGCTTTCTTTTGTCTTAATAATTAGTGATTTTTTAATAGCATATAATCTTTATATTGTGATGCTAAAAAAAATCTGATGCCAGTACAAAGCCTGCTTGTCATACATACTTTAATAGACTGACCTTATTATTTCTAGTGGTAGGACAGATGGAGGAGAATTTTTCCTGGTTTTATAAGTATTTAGGCTAGATTGAGTGCTAAACAATTACCTTTAAAGCAACCAAAAAAAAGTGTTATTTAAATGACCTG